GAGGACGAGAAGGACGAGGGAATCTAGCAGAACTTTTCTCTTAATAACTATTTTTGAGCATTTTCTTTTTTCTTCGTTTTAGTAAGTTGTAATGAATAAATGGCTTGTGAAGTTGAGCTGGTCTCCTTCACAAGCCTAGTTATCTGGTGTTTTCATGCGTTATAACATATGGTTTTAAATATGTGAGACTCCTATTTATGTTTGGTATTATGATGATTATGCTATATACTTGATTCCCTATTCATTAATTTGTATCTTCCAATGTTGATCATAAGAAATTGATCTAGAATAAACTTGCATTTATAATACAATCGCTTGATTATGGAAACCATTCTTACAAAAGAAAATCCGTCTAAAGCTTGTCACTAATTACAAAAGGCTGAATCAGACCATGTTCTGCTCATATCACACAAATGTGAGTTCATTTCTGTTACAAAAGGCAAAAGGTCCACAAGAACTCAAACATAAACGAGCAGGCAAGATTCATTTCGTCAAATTCCTCCACTTATCCTTCAAATCCACCTCAGTCCTATCAGCCAATACAACAGGATTTGAATCCTTTATGAATTTCCATGATTTTCCATGCTGTTTCACTCCTTCCCTCAGAACTTCCACTTCTTCATTCGTCCAGAATTTCACTGGCCTTCTCAGACGCGGTTCAACTTTCTTCAACGGTGATACATTCAGAGGTTCCGGGGTTGGTAGACGAGGCCGAACTCTCCGAGACGATGACGTTCCCGGACTATCTTCTTCTCCTCCATTATGCTCTTGACCTCCTCTTGTTTCAGTCCTAATTGCTCCATCTGGCTCATGAGAGACGTCAATTGCATGGTTGGTTTCTTGCACTTGCCTAGTCGAAGGGTCCAACACTCCTTGAATCTCTATCAAAAAATCTTTAAGCTCTCGAGCCACTGTTATGTCTCCCTTATCAAGACTTGTCTCATGTTCTTCTTCTTGTTCATTCACCTTATCATCAACCCTATCAAGATTCTTGTCACCTACTCTACCACAATTCTCACCTCTTTTCGGGGCATCATTCGGATCCTTGCGCTTAAGAAGCCTCCTTCGAGCTTCTGATTCAAGAGAGGAGCATCCAAATAGTACCCACTGCTCTTTGAGAAGCTGATTAAGATGAGAGATAGCATCGTACCTAATGTTAGTCTCACGAATCTCCTGATACTTCTCAGGTTCCTCAAACGCCTTGTTTAGATCACTCTCCCATTTCAACAACTCACAAGTCACAAGACGACTCTCCTTCTCCTTTAATAACCCAATCCGTTTCTTCCAAATCCTCTCAAGAGCATCGCTTAGTAATCCATCAGAAGCAGACACTGGCCACATGAACCTAACCGTGCATTCAACAGCAGTCAAGCAATAAGCAGACTTGAGAGACCCCATGATTACAGAACCTTCCTGGAGTTTCTCGAGAATCTCGAGGAGATCGAGCAGTTCTTCGTCGACATTACCTCGATTCAAGGAGTTCGACAAGTCTCGCAAAACGGCGGTGATCTTGAGATTTACAGAGTTGTCTGGTTGCAGAGACGAAAAGAGGGCAGTAGCGTAAACCCTAGGATTTTGTTGGCGACGAAGGAAGAACTCGAGCACCCAATTATCCATCACTTCCATCTTTTTTTTTAAACCCAAGATCAAAGATTTCACCTTTGTTTAGTTTTCTTCCTCGGGGTGTGTGTGGGAAGATTTAGGGTTTTCGATTTGGGGGAAAAACGGAAATCTCCCGATCAGTGATTGTAGCAGCAGCACAAGTGTGTGGACCCCTTTTTAAAAAACAGAGTTTCTATTTCAAATTTTAAATTTATTCGTGTTTTTTTCTTATGATTTTTTTTTTAAACAAATAATTAGTCACTTGACTGATTTTATAGATTTTTTTGTTGATTTTTTTTTTGGTCGGTGATTTTTTTGTTGATAACCTAAATATTTTTATGTTATAAAGAAAAGGGATTATTTGATAAATACCTTCTTTATGTTTTTTAATTTAAAAAATATACTATTTTTATATTTTTTTAAAAACTACCTCTTCTTATTTGTAAAAAAACACATTTATCCTAATTTTTTATATTATAATATACTAAACCAAAAAAAAAAAAAAATTCAAATCTCCCTCACTATTTTTTTTACAAACTCTTACTCAATATATATTTAGAAAAATATTATATTGACGTTTTTTTTTTTTCTGAAGATGATATCTTCACAAACCCTCTTGTAGTCTTGTTAAACAATTGTACAAAAACCATGTCAAGGTTTCAAACTTTTAATCTTTTTTTCTTTTCAGTAGATATAACCCAAAGCAAAAAATTATGATTTTCTTGAGAATTTTTTA